AGGAGATGAAACCCCCCTCCTGTAAATTCCTTCCAATTTTTGGATTTTGGATGGATTAAGCACTCTTGCTGTTACTCCCAGGGCTCCCCTGCAAATTCAAGAATTGTCTGTTGTATATCCTGGAGGTGAGAATCTCTGTGTGAAATTCCCTGTTCTGAGGCCAGTTCAGGCCAAGGGTGCGATTTCCCCTGTCCACTTTTGCTTGCTTTGCAGTTTTCTTTTTCTTTTCTTTTTATACAACCCTCAAAGGGATATTTTTATTGCATTTTCTATAAGCTACAAAGAAATAAGGGAGGGTATCTACAAACTACAGGTGAAAGGAAAGAAAAACCTCTAAAAACACAAGACTGCTTCAACTGCCCATTTCTACACATGAAGCCTCTGTTAAATTGCCAAGATGCTTTTCTCCCAGCCTGTTGCCATCCGAAAATGGGGTCAGGAGAAAATTGACTAGGGAAAGCAAGCGAGGCCTTTTTTCCACTGCACATTCTTTCAGAGTGTTGGCTATTGGATGAATTAAGCATTGTTGCTCTTAGTCCTAGTTCTCCACTGCAATGTCATCCATCCTCCTGTCACTTGTAAGGGAATCCCACCTCCCCTGGAGTCGTGGATTTCTTTTGACAATTAGCCCTACTTACCATTCCCCACTGTGAATTTTGTTAGACTATCATTGCATCTTTCTTCATATTGTGGTAGGAAATCTCTCTTGTTTGACAAAACATCCCTTCACACAGACGGGATCTCTAGTCAGGGGCTTGGCTGCAGTGGACCGTCTCTTCAGAGGAGGTGCAGCCTCTTGGGAGAAGCCAGGGGGCGTGGACCTATTTGCATGAGGGGCCCTTCTTCAGATTCTGGGGGATTTAAGAAAGAAAAGGGAGGGCTTCAGCTAGACAACTTCCAGCTCCACAAATTCAGACTCCTTTTAGTTTCCACCATGGCCTGGACTCTGTTACTCTTCATGTTCCTCAGTTATGGCTCAGGTGAGGTGACGGAGAGAAAGCAATGGTGCGTTTCTGTCATGGAATCACAATGTCTGGTGAGCTGAGAAATCGAATCAACCTCATGGTTTTGTCTTTGTTTCTTTCTTGCCAAGGTGCCAGTTCACAGCACACCCTGACTCAGCCTCCCTCACAGTCTGGCTCTCTTGGACAAACGACGAAACTCCCCTGCACTATCAGCAGTAACAAGAATCCCTTTGGCTGGGTTCAACAGATTCCTGGTCAAGCCCCTCGGTTTCTCTTCTATGGCAGCACCAGGGGAACTGGGATCCCCGATCGGTTCAGCGTTTCTGAATCAGGCAACACGGGTTATCTAAGCATTGGTAGTCTCCAGGCTGGAGACGAGGCTGATTATTACTGTTACATGTGGCCCAGTGGGGGTAGCCAGTGCCACGGTGGTAGAATCTCATGGGGAACTCCGTCAAAAACCTTCACTCTTCCTCCCCAGAGAGAGGAAGCAAGAGTGACTGCAGAGTGAAATGTGATGTGATGAGCCTGATGTTGTTTGAATGGGGCTGTTGGCATTTACAGAAAGGCCACCTCTGCCCCAAAGGTATTCCTCTATATAACCCACCCCACCAATGCCACAGTGTGACGATAGAAAGTGCCTGGGTAGTACATGACTCCAAGAGCACCCTGGAATCTCTCAGGTCTCCATGGTGTCTTGTCTATACCAAAATGTTAAATGTGGGAGAGAAGCCACTGAAATGCTCAGTCAGGATGCCACAAAGAAGAAGAAGAGAAGAGACTGGATTTATACCCTGCCCTTCACTACCCAAAGGAGTCTCAGAGCGGTTTACAATCTCCTTTCCTTTCCCTTCCTCTTTCCACAACAGACACCCTGTGAGTTGGTGGGGCTGAGAGAGCTCTTTGAGAACTGCTCTTGAGAGAACAGCTCTGAAATAGCTTGTGACTGGCTCAAGGTCGCGCCAGCAGCTGCATGTGTAGGAGTGGGGAATCAAACCTGGTTCTCCCAAATTAGAGCCTGCACTCTGTCCTATCTGCCACATCAAACTGGCTCTGATAAGATTTGCTCCAGCTCAGAACCACGTCTTCTATTTTTCCAAAAGTGCTAGAAGCTATGAAAGAGCTCAGAATTTAATGGCATCAATTCAGACAACTTGTATCATTATGAAAGGGTATATTTCCTGTAATGGTCTTGTCTTGTCCTACCCAGCCAGCATTTTGGACTCAGAACAGCCCTGTGAGGTGGATAAGGAATGTATTATAAATAGGTACACATTCTTCAAACTTGAAAATCAACTTTGTATTCAGCTTTGTATGTTTCTGATGCTAATGATTCCTAGACTAAGGTAGTCGAATCCGACTCTAGGGTTGCGGTGCTCATCTCCGTTTCAAAGCCGAAGAGCCAGCGCTGTCTGAAGACGTTTCCGTGGTCATGTGGCCGGCATGACTAAACACCAAGGCGCACAGAACGCTGTTACCTTCCCACTGAAGTGGTCCCTATTTATCTACTTGCAATTTCTTGCTTTGGAATTCTAGGTTGGCAGGAAACATGATCTTAAAAAGGTAAATGTTCCCTTGCTCGAAAGCCAGTCGACTCCTCAAGGAAAGGCCTCCATCTCATCCCATCTGGGAGTGGTGTTGAATTCTGGGAAAGCCCGGCGCTATATTATCCGTGATCAGCTCATTTCAACCTCAGATGTCCATTGCCGAGACTTCCGGCAGTTCCGCTACCATGAGGCCGACGGGCCCCGAGAGGTCTAACTGTTCCAGCCCCACCTCGAAAGGAAGGCTGGCTAGGATGCCACCCTGGCTTGAAGGGCTGCTTGTGAAACACATGGATGATTGGACAATGTCTGGGTGTCAAATTAACTATGCAACACTGATCTAGTTAATGCCTCTTTAAAAATTTTTGGGGGTCATATGATTCAGCCAAAGTAAAGCACTCTAAGGTCTGAATAGGAGAACCTGAATAATGTGTTGGATTCAAGGACTCCCTTATGCCAAGTCCTTCTTCTGTTCAGAAATGATTTCCTCTATTGGAAAATGGCTGCCTTTCTCCACAGAAAATGCAAGAAGAGCTCTGTTGGACAGACCAGATCTGAGGTCCATCTAGTTCGGCATTCTGCTTCATGCAGTCATCAAGCAATTCCTCTGGAGGCTGAACAAACAGGGCACAGAGGCCAAGGCCTTCCCCTGAAGCTGCCTTGTAGCACTGGTGTTCAGTTGTTTAATCCCTCTGAAGATGGCAGTTCATTGGTGTTGGAAAATTTGGTAAAAATAGTTAAATATTCTGAGTTTGCAATGGCTCTTTGTTCATTGGAGAGGAGGCATTTTCATTTTATGTAAAAATCTTTCTAAAGGGAAAGGTACACGGGAAATCTACAAAACAACAAACACTTAAGACAACAGACAGACAAGTTCATAATGGAGATTCCTCTTTCTTCTTGACCTCTAGAAGGAAATCACCTGAATGCATTAATCAATGATTGTGAGTAAATAGACTTTAGTTTTCCCAACTTTTCTCCCCATTGGCTTTGTGCCAGGTTCCCTTCCAGGTCAGTCGAAACACTGGCACACAAGGTAAACACATTAACCCTATAATGACTGAATTTAGACCTTGCAACACACATATTTCCAACAATTGGATCCTGCCATTGAGGTTCAACTTTCCTTATGAACTATACAGCAATTAAAATTTTGTAGGCTCTTGCCTTCCAAATTTTGCTGTTCTGGATTCAAAAATAACATTTTGTTCCAGTTTCTTCATAGTGGGCAGAATTACATGAGCACAAGACATGTGCCTCTGTGACATGAAGTGAAGCAGAAGCAAGTTCTGGGCCTTCCAGGTCACTCTCCATTGAGATTCTGATAAGCATCTTTTTTGCCCAAGGGTATATCTTGAAGACCAGATGATGATGATGATAATAATAATAATAATAATATGACATTGTGTGCAGTATAGCCAGGAGATCCAAAGATTGTCTGGCAGCCAGAAGTTCTAGCTGTTGCTAGCCTTGGCTATCCAGGTCAGGTCAGGGACCAAACTACATATTATGGACGTCTTTGTGTCACCTGCAAGGATTTCCAGATACCGTGTTGTAACTTTTCCACTAAGAACACACCTCCAAGGTTTGTGAGGCTCAATTTGGATGAGATTAGGGCACATAGGAGGAGCAGCTGAAGCCATATTTTCAAATCAGAAATGGAGTAGGGGAGCTGCTCTTTCCCCTGCTGCGTACTGCATATGAAGTTCACTGGTTTGCCTACCATTCACACTCCTCCGCTGCTGGTTCTATCTATTGGGTTGTTCAGGAGCGTAAGCAGTTAATATGAGGGCTGGTGTCCCTCCCTTGTGGTTTATGCTGGAGGAGAAGGAGTTAATGAACCATCTGCTTGCATCTCAGGTGGAGGGAGGGTCTAGAAAAGTATATAGTTACTAGTAGAGGAATCACAGAGACTATTTGTGGGTTGATGTAAAAATTTGCACAGGTCTCCAGTTGTTTATTCCTACTCTACTGTGACAGATTCATCTGCTGGGCCTGCATCACTGTGAATTTTAATTATTTTTTTTATTCATGAGTATGGAAATTGTATTGCCATTTGTTTAAAAAAACCTATTGCTCAGAAGCACAATGTGGGAGGTATCAGCAGCAGCCAATCAATAGGGCCTATATTTGCATAAAAGGCGTGAATTCTTCTAAATTCCTGATACATAGCAGAGAGCAGTAAAGTTCTGACCAATTATCTTTCAGGGCCTCTGACATGATCTGCATTCCCCAAGATGGCCTGGGCTCTTCTTCTCTTCTCATTGCTCACTTCTTCCCCGGGGGCACTTAAGGAAGCAGTGGTTCGCCCCGTCTTGAAAAACCATCCTTGGATCTGACCGAATTGGCCAACTATCGGCCGGTTTCCAACTTGCCCTATTTGGGCAAGATAATAGAGAGGGCAGTGGCAATTCAGTTACAGGGCTTCTTGGATGACGCTTCCGTTTTAGATCTTTTCCAGTCTAGCTTTCACCCAGCCCATGGGACAGAGATGGCAGTGGTCACCCTCATGGATGAGATCTTGCAGCACAAAGAGAGTAGGTTAATGCTCATCATGCTCTTGCTGCAGCATTTTGGAGAAGTTGAAGTTTCTGTATAGTATTGAATGGAATGTGGAGGGCACATCAAAGCAATAAAAGCATGATGTAGTCCGACAAAGGACAACTTTGTGGTGAGTTCTTTCCTCATCAAGAGGAGGCAAGGCTGGCATGCCAACTGAGGTCAGTAGCAAGGATTTTGAACCATACAATCTGCTTTGGCCAATCTAGGAGAATCCTCACACTGCAGATACAATCCTTTAGGGGGAATGAAACTCACCCAGCAGAGGCCGTCCAGTAACACCTCTGGGAAGGGATGCTGCGAATTTCACTACAAACATGTTTGACAGTTGAACTTAACATGTTGAAGGTGTCAGTCAGATGTTCATGCTGAACAGCTGTGAATGTCTACCAAACAGGTTTGCATTGGGTCTTTGCAAAACTGTGCAAAGACACTGCTGATTCAAGCCAATCTGTAGCCATTAGTATCAAGATGGATAATGCGGATGAATATTGAATTGTAAGAGATTATTAAAAAACAGCATTTATTTATGACTTATTTGTAATCTGATTGGATTATCTACTTCAACAGCAGTCCATTGAGTGGAGGAGTTGCACAGAAAGGTTGGAGTATAGTAGGACTGAATTGGACTGCATGACAGTGTACTGCACGGTTAGAAAGGAATAAGGGGAAGTGAACCGCCAAACTGCCATGAATGGGTTGAAGAATGGTTGAAATGTTAATAGAAAAAAATGTCTATGATAACAGAAAAAGGCAGATGTTTGATCATCCTGACCATGGATGGAGTTTCATTTTATTAGACCACACCCCTGCCATTACTGTTTCCCGAAAGCTGTCCAAGACACAAAGTACAATTTTCTCTGTGAGCAGGTGTTTATCCTGTGATCCTCTGAATTTGAAAGCCCTTGGAACATATCTCTTGCTTCATATACACACTTTAAAAAAGACATGTCTACCTTTGCTATGATGAGTGACCCCATCCTTGTATTAAGTGGGAATCTATTAATTTTTTTTTGAAGGGGATGAAGTAAATGCTCATTCACATTGCTTGATGGAAAGAAATCCAGTCTTTTTAATAGTTTTACTCTTCTGGAGCAAAAAGGGAGGGCCTTCCAGCAGCTTTTGTAACCAATGAGCAAGCAAAGCATTTGCATAGAGGGCAGATCACAAGTCCTGGATCAGCTTAAGAGAGAAAGAGAGGATGTTAATCAGAGCTTCATTTCCATAGGAAGTGCTGTCGATGCTTCCCATCATGCTGTGGGCCATTCTCCTTCCACTTCTCTCTCAGTGCTCAGGTGTGTGGTGAAGAGGTTTTTTTCCTCCTACAGATTTAAAATCTAAAGCCAAGACTATTATTAATATATATCTTTATATCTCTCCAGGTGTCAGCTCTCAGCCTACCCTAACCCAGCTACCCTCAGAGTCTGTAGCTCTTGGAAAGACAGTAAGACTGTCTGCCAGTCTGAGCAGTGGGTATGAGAGTTACGTTGTGGCATGGTATCAGCAGCGAGAGGAGCAGGTTCCCCGGCTTCTGCTGTATGGTAACAGCAAAAAACCCACCGGGATCCCAGATCGATTCTCTGGTTCCAAATCAGGCCTTGATCGCTATTTGACCATCACTGGGGTGCAGCCAGAAGATGAGGCGACATATTACTGTGGTTTAGATCATGGCAATAGCAGTAGCTTTGTGTAACCCACAGTGATAGACTTAGAGGAGGAACTGAGACAAAAACCTCTGCTAAGGGAAGGAAGAAAAGGTTTTACTTTCTCAGTCCTCTCTCGTCTTTCATCACCTATTTTCAGAGCCTCCCTCAGGGTTAACTGAGGACAGTTTCTGTGCAATTCTTTGCATGTGTTCTCAGATATAAATCCCATTGAGTTCAATGGGCCTTATACTTAGGATTACAACCTTGGACAGGCAAAGAACTTGCAGATGGACTTCTCAACCTGTAAGCTCCAAACATGTGCTTGAGCCCAGCAGTTGGCACACTTCTTCTTCCTTGGCCTTTGTAATGCCTCAGGAGGGGTTCTAATGCTGTGAGGTAACTGTGTAGTCAGAGGCTGCAACTAGTTGCCTCCTTATTCCAGAATTATTTTGGGACGGGTTTCTGGATCAGAAGGAGACAAGACATGCAAATCTGAGGGAAGGAGGCTTGGATCTCAGACACACCTATGGATCGTAAAGGACTCTCTGCTCCTGTATAAACCAGCCAAGACAAAATCATAAGTAGAGCCTTGCTGGGTCAGACCAAAGGCCCATCATATCCAGCACTCTGTTCACACAGTGACTAATCAGCTGCCTCCAGGAAACCCACAACCAGGATGACTATTGTAATAGCATCCCCCTGCCTGGGCTCTACAGCAGGTGATACAAAGATGCATATTGCTTGTGGTCCTGGAGGGAGTAGATATCCATCGTGGCTAGTAGCCCTTGTGACTAGTAGACCCCACTGCTGGACTTCCTGATGGCACCTGGTATTTTTGGCCACTTTGTGACAGAGTTGGCCTGATCCAACATTGGCTTCTCTTATGTTCTTATGTACTGATAGCCCCATCCTCCAAGAGTTTGTCCACTCCTCTTTAAAGTCTTCCAAGCTGGGGCCATCAACCCATCCTGGAGCAACTTAGTCCACAATTTAACTGAGTGAAGAAGTATTTCCTTTTTTCTGTCTTGAGTCCTCCACCCTTTAGCTTCAGTGGATGACCCTGGGTTATGAGAGAGGAAGAAGACCCTCTCCCTGCCCACACTCAACTCACCATGCATAATTTTATAGACCTCTATCACATCTCCCCTCGGTCTCTTTGATTTCCAAGCTGAACAGCCATAAGTGCTTTAACCAGTACTCATAGGGCAGTTGTTCTACCCCTCTGATCCTTTTAGTGGCTCTTTTCTGCACCTTTTCAAGCTCTGGTTGTGATTGAAAGTGCCTTCAAATCACAGCTGACTTATGGCGACCCTGTAGGGTTTTCAAAGCAAGAGACATTCAGAGATGGTTTGCCCTTGCCTGCCTCTGCATCAGGACCTTGTTATTCCATCTAAATGCTATCCAGGGCTGAACCTACAGCTTCTGAGATCTGATGAGATCAGGCTAGTCTGGACTATCCAGGTCAGGGCTTTCAAGTTCTACAATATCCCCTTTCAGACACAGTGATCCAAACGTATAAAGCATTCCAAGTGTGGTCTCACCATAGGTATGTTTTTTTTTATAGTGACAGCATGGTAATAGCAGTTTTATACTCTATTCCAATTCTAATTACTGCTATCATGGAATTTGCCTTTTTCACATTAGCCACACACCGGGTTGACATTTTCGTTGAGCTATCCACTATCACCTCAAGATCTCTTTCTTTTAATCTGTTGCTACCAGCTCAGATCCCAACAGTATTGCATGTGCACTTGGGATTTTTTGGCCTCATTATGCATCACTTTACACTTACACTGAATCTCATTTGCCATTTTAATGCTCTTTCCCACAGTTAAGAACTCTGCCTGCTCTGATGGACCTAGCATCATATTATACAGAGACAAAAATTCCCCTAAGCCAGTTATAACCAGCAGCGTTTAAGTTTCTGGATAATACATCTTATGGAGAGATCTTTCTGGAGCACTTTACCATCTGTTTTTGCTTTCACCACCCTACATAATTGGGCATCATCTGCAGACTTGGCCACCTCACCACTCACTCCTAACTCCGGGTCATTTATGAAGAAGTTGAAGAGCAGTGAACCCATTCCCAGTACAGATCCCTAAGCGACTTGCTGCTCACATCCCTCCATTGTGAGAACTGACCATTTATTCCTATTCTCTGCTTCCTGTATTTTAGCCAATTTCCAATCCATAAGATGACTTGTCCTCTTATACTGTGACTAGGAAGTTTACTCATGAGTCTTTGGTAAGGGACTTTGACAAAAGCTTTTTGGAAATCCAAATAAACAATATCTAGTGGTTCACTCCTGTCCTTCTACAGAGACCCTTCTTCAGGTGCTCATAGTTTCAGAAGTGGAGTGGGTAGCCACACAAGAAAGAGCCTTTTTCTTTCTTGGCAACTTGTGAGTGGAAAACCCTCTCCTCAACTGTGACCTATTACATGAACTTTTCTGTTCCAGTTCCTAGGCCTAGACTTTTCTATTTCATTTTGCTGGTTTTGTGAGCTGACAATGATTGTTATCCAATATTGATTTTATTTTTGTCATGGGCTGTGGCAGAACAGGCCTGCTCTGGCCTGCAGGCCCTATTCCACCCTGCTCTCCAAAGTCCCCCCCCCTTCATAAACTGCCACCTCCACCTGACCTTTGTAGGAATTGCCTGCTGGGAGGGTCAGGGCTCCCAGCTTTCCTTCCAAGTTCTGAGGCCTTGCCTATGTATCTCCTGCTGCCCAGCACCTGGTCACCATGGGGACAGTTTACTGCCTTGTGCACCCTTAGAGGAACAGCCACTTGCCAACTGCCTGCCTTTCCCCTGGTGCCCCTTTTAAAATAGCATGTCCGAGATGGTGGAGGTCTATGGGGTACAGAGAACCACTACCAGAATAAAAAGTTATCAAGTATTTATTAAAAAGAAAATATCCACAAGCATACTTTTAGCACAGCAACAGACTGAGCAAGGGATTCAAAATAAATAAGTAAAATGCAATTCTTCTATCCCTCTCTCTATCTTTTAAAATATAGGACAGGTTCCTAAAGCTTTAGAAGTTACAGATCCCTACAAAGGTTCCAATATCTTTAAGCTTCCTGCAGCTTTTTAGGCCAAAACATTGTCAATGGCTGCCTTATTCAGATCTCAGTTAAGAGCTCTGCCTGCTCTGATGGACCTAGCACCAAAGAGCCCTTCCTCCTTGCTGCAAGTTTTTATCATAATCTGTTTCTCCACCCACTGACCAGGTCAGCCCCAGTCAGAGAACCTCTTCCTGAAGTCCAGACGTTTCCTTCCTGAAGCCTCTCTAGCATTTAATTCCTCCAAATCTCTGTTTCCTGCTTG